AGAGCTCCTTCACAGATGATGACGCCCTCTTACTCATACTCTCTCCAGCTCTCTCAGTGGTGAAACCTGTAAATCCTCATTGATGTGAGTCTGTGGACAGCTCTGCTGTGTCTGGCCCTTGGGGCGTGTACACCCTGAGAAGCCGATGACACAGAAGACCCCCGAGGACTGCCTCACCCCTCCCCCCAAGGTACATAAGCGGTGCTGAGATCTCCACCACCAAGATGAGGGGACGTCCCTGTCACCGTCACCAAGCTCGTCCGGATGGTTATCCCCCTGCATAAGCATCACCCTGGACTGACAGCCAGATCAAGCATAAACCATTCATTCATCCATCCCTCCATTGCATGGGCAGGGGTGGTGCTCGCAGCCCCATCCAAGTCAACACCTACCTGACGCAGAAGAAAAGAACCACGGGCCCAGATTTCTTGGGGAACTCATGCTCCAAAACTCGACGGTCCAACTGCAGCCAGCTGAAGTGTCCCCTGGGGTTAGTGTGTTCAACCACATCAGAAAGTGGAGAAAGAGAATTCGACCATGTCAGAAGATGGAGGAAGCGGGATTGACCATGTCAGGAAATGGGGGAGGCGGGTATGACCATGTCAGGAAATGGGGGAGGCGGGTATGACCATGTCAGGAAATGGGGGAGGCGGGTATGNTGTCAGGAAATGGGGGAGGCGGGTATGACCATGTCAGGAAATGGGGGAGGCGGGTATGACCATGTCAGGAAATGAGGGAAGTGGGTTCGACCGTGTAAGAAAACTGGGGGAAGTGGGTTTGACCAGGCAAACTCACGTTTCATCAGTGTACGATATTCCGAAATACTCCTTCTCCTTCAGGTTGAAGTGGGAGGCCACCAGGTCCAGGAGCTCCTTCGCCATCAGTTTGGGCTGCAGAGAGAAGGGGAGGGGTGTTGGGATTAGGGCACTGGGGTACGTTAAGGTCAGCTCCCTGCGGGTCATTGATTCAGCGTGATGACTTTCGCTTTTCCCATGACATACTGGAGAGAAGCCTGACATCTACACTCTGCATCTTGTCTATACTCAGTGTATACTCATTCGATACTCGGTTCATACTCTGAAAAAGAGCTTAGTTTCCACAAACGTAGCAGCAACCACGTTTGGGGTGGAAACGTGATATTCGCACCCCCTGGTGGACATTTGGGATCTCCCACCCCCAGCCCCACCACATGGAGCTCCACGCCAAAATGACCTAATTACTGCTTTTCTTTAGCTCAGGCCGTTTGTAATTAAGTGCATGAAGTGATCGTTAATCCAGCCACAAACCGCCCTGATGTCCCAGAAATAGCTGTGGAATAGAATGCAGAGCAGCTGACCCCCGAACCGGCTGATGTCACCTGCCAGGACGTGCCCGCCTGCCAGGACGTGCCCGCCTGCCCGTGAACGAGGTGGTTCTTTTTGATGTTATTGTCCTCCTCAGTCTCACATAAGGTTTAGCCACTCAGAGCAGAGTACAGATGCCCTCCTTGTTTACATAAAAACGTTTACATTTACATCTCTGAGTCGGGCAACTTCAGCACGCACACACACACACACACACAAAGAGACAGAGACAGGTTTGTAATTATATCTTTGTGGGGACTCTTCATTCATTTTATTTCAATCCCAACAATGAAAACCTTAACCCCTACCCAGCCCTAATCCTTAAGTAACCAAACAAAATATGATTGCATTCACAGATCTTTGTGGGGACCTAAAAATGTTCCCCACAATGTCAAAATAACAGGTATTTACTACATTGTGGGGGAAATTTGGTCCTCACAATGAAATATAAACATAATCCACCATACAGACACACACACACTTTTCCATTTATTTCATAACCTGCAGGTTATTTATTCTTGTTAACCACTGGAAAGTTTAGCGTACAACTATAAATTAGGGCTGTCAAAATTAATGGGTTAACGCGGATTAATCCATCATCATGATTAATCTGATTAAAATTTTTAACGCAATTAACCCATCTGCAGCGCAGAATGACTCAAAATCCCTGAAATGTCTCTGGCAACCCATTTCGGGCAGTTTTGGTTCGTTCCATTTGCCCTGGGAACTCGTATTCCGAGTCGGATTCCGAGTATTAAAGCCGGAAGTGACGACATGCGCGCTCCCGTTTCTTGGACATCCGAGAAATATCTCGGAGCAGCACAGAGAATCCCGAGTTCAGAATCCAAGACGGCTGCGCATTTTATTAACAGAAGGGAAAGTTGTAGTTTTATACTGTTTAAGCACTACTTCTCATTTGTGGCTCATTAAATCAGTCGCACACACTATACCGTCCAACTTATCTGTGGACGTGTTGCTACGGAGTTTTATACATAAAGCACCGCGCGTAATGTGTTATCAACTGATATTGCTAACAATGGCAATTAACCGGGCTAGAATTGGATTTCATGAGTAGGCAGATTATTTGTCGGATTAACGATAGTTTGGGCTAATTGTAAGTAAACGAAAATAAAGACCATTTTAACTGAGGTACCTTAAATACGACAAGTTGCTTTTTGATATGGGTCCATGGTATTGCACTTCTGTGGCAGATGGAATGCATCCGACTCATGTTCAAGATGTTCAATAAACATGTTAAGTGCATATATATTCCCTTTTTACTTGAGTCTGCTTGCTCATGCAAAATGAAATGTGATTAATATAGATTAAAAATGAATTATATTTAATCGTGATTAATCAAAATAAAACCACAGCAACCCTGTGATTAATCTGATTAAAATTTTTAATCGTTTGACAGCACTACTATAAATAAAAATATACGTCAAATAAAACACGTTTCCTTTATAACATTGAAAGAGTGTGTAACAGTGCATGTCTGACATCGTATTAACTGGTTGTGTGGTGATGGCAGAGTCAGATTCTAGGCTGTCCTTTAACTTTAAATGCGCTAGTTAACAGTTTCACCCCATGAAACAGAGCAGTATTTAATGTCCCTTGTAATGCTTCAAATTTTCTCTGCTGTTATAACTGCTAGAGGAGGCTACTTTGATGAATTTGAACATTTTCATGCTAATAAACGGATTCAAATGGTGAACATACTGTAAATTCATTTGCTGGCAAAGAAAATTAGTGTATTTTTAGTACATGTTAAGAGAGTAACATGCAAATGTAGAAAATCTCTGCGTGTGCAAAAACTTTTAACTGGTGGTAACGAGACAAACGCACAGAGACACACGCAGCATTCAGTCTAAAGTCTACATGTAGGGGAATTCACCAAAGAGCACCATGCTGGCTGTGGGCTTGAATGACAAGTGCCTGCAGTGACAATGTGCAGTGCCTTTAGTGAAAGTGCAGTGTGCCTGCAGTGAAAGTGTGCAGCCTATGCCAGAAAGTGCAGCAAAGAGCAACAGCTGTCTCTCTGTTAGAAACAGCCTGTAACCTGTAGGCACAGGCCTCAGCAAAATGTGCCCCAGGTTATTACTCAGAAATTTTCATCCTTACTATTAAGACTATTTCAGGAGAGACAGGACATCCTTTCTGAGCAGAGAGAGTAGGGCCTCTCTGGTGCTGCACTGGTGCTCACCCCACAGAGGGATCACTGGCCTCTGCCACGCAAGGCCAGCACGGCCAATCATAAGGATCCCCCGGCAAAGGAACCCATGACGTCATCGTCATAAGGCAAACAAGAGCGGGCCAATGGGACCGGAGTGCTGAGCAGATCTCGAGCCTAAAACCCCACGTTCACGAGACCGACACACTCACAAGTCACAGACTGGAACTGCGTGAAACCCCACAGAGCCTTCCTGACTGCAGTTCAACATTGATCCTGCAGGAGGCACTGGACTAGGGTTGGGTCGACCTGTTCAAAGCTCTGGGTGTGAAGTGAGAGAAAGCTCCAGGCACCAATGATATGAAGCTGCTGAGTCATGGGGGACTTGCCCATATTCCTAAGGCTCCATACTGCCACCTAGTGCTCATAAAACTGTTTCAGACAGAAGGAGTCAGCACTAAATACTTCCCAGCATGCACATATGCATGCATAAATACCAGCATTCATTAGAGAAAAAAACTGTGCAAAGTAGAATATTCATTCAAATCAAAGAGAGCAAGAGCAGCACCAGCAAGCTATTTGTGGCGGATTCAAACACCTGGAGAGTTATTAAATGGAGCAGGTTTAATTTTAAACACCCCACATTAATCCACGCTGCTGTTATTGACTGAGCGTAGAAAGGCAGCAGATGGCCCACTCATTCAGGCCGGCAAGCAGAGCGCTGTGTGTTACAGTCACAGTCCCCAGCTGTGTGGATCACATGACTCACAGCTGTATGCTTCGTGCTGATTGGAAGTGTCAGCCTGGCTGAAATGCACAAAGGCAGGTAAGAGAGCATCCAAGAAGCTGCATTGCTGGGTGACCACTCACAGGTGTGGCCTGATGCGTCATGCTGCATCTATAGGGTGCCTGTGCATCCAAGGTGAGAGAACTTCAGCGAGTCCCGCAGGAGTCCATCTCACTGCTCTCAGGATGTTTCCTCATCAGGACTGACTCAGATTCAGTGCCAGTTTGTCACATATGGGGAGGAGCCGTGGGAATTGCTCAAATCACAGGTATATGCTCTTTGGCTCTGGGTCACATGCAGTGCTCAGAAGATGAGACCAAAGTGGCACTGTGGTAGGGAAGGAAGAACGCAGTGAAAGCAGTGGAACATCGTAGATGTTTCTAAGCTAAACTAGATTTCACTGGTTTTGATGGTCCAAAAACTGTGTAGCTGCATTCAGATAAGGAAGAAAAGTCTCTGTTAGTTCACAAGGTCTATGCAGAAAGTGGACAGTCCGGCTAGAGTCTGGCCTGGGGGCTTCAGCATGGCGGCATTCTATCTCCAGCGGACTGAGGGAGTGTGTCCCCCACCGAAGATCAGAACTGACAGCGCCACAGTCCTGCCAGCTAAAGTCTGCGAAAACAGTGTGAAGAGACTTGGCACGGCACCGGTGAACATAACGGCCGCGTTGAACTTCATGCAAAGCCCCTTTAAAACTGAAAGGCTTGCAGTAGGAAGTCTGAACCGTGAGCTGAATAATCACCCAGATCCATCATACTTGTATTGCTTCTTAAAATAAAAAAAGGACAGCATGCAAGTCCACTGTGACCACTTTGCATGTCAAAAACATCTGACAGCAGCACAGCAGATGCCCACGCAGCAGAGCCCAACGCACTCCTCTCAACAGCAGCGTTTATGCAGAGCATCATGGGAAGCTGTGGCCCAATTGCCCTTTTTTCAGATGGGGGAAACTATCTTTCCGCTTGTGTTTCTTTTTAAACACAAAAAAAACCTATAATGAGGAGATTTTTATTTATATCCCTGCTAATAACATCTGCATGCCTGCTCATGACATTCGCATGCTCCTCACTGGCCAAGAGCATCAGCGGTTTCCTGTCAGGGCGGGGCCAGCGGGCTGTCCCAGGGGGCTAACGATCCACCTTACAAGGTGACATGAGTAGGGCAGGGGGTGCAGTGGTGATGTTTATAATTAAATCTTTGTGGGGACTCTCCATTCATTTCTATGGGGAAAACCCTAATCCCAACACGATGACCTTACCCCTGCCCAGCCCGAACCCTATCCATAAGTAACCAAACAAAATATGAGACATTTGGCATTCTTAGTTTTTATATTGCATTCAGGGGTGCCCAAAATGTCAAAATAACAGGTTTTTATCACATTGTGGGGGACATTTGGTCCCCACAATGTAATATAATCCTAATTCACACAAACTCCAATCTAATAGGCTGGCACAGCCGCAGATTGCTTGCCTCGCCACATGAACCAGGAAGGGCAGAACTACTGGTCATTGAGAGTGGGGGGTCAAATAGGAAACTCCCTCATCCAAAACTGTGAAGTACCTGCACAAGGAGCTCCAATTTTCTGTCGTCGAGGAGGTGGACCTGGCAACGGCGGCCCTCCGTCATCTGGAAGAGAGGAGATGGTGGGGATTAGGACCAGGGGGTCGAGGACACGTGACGGAAATAGAAATGTCCCCCCGGGACCGAGGACAGATCCAGAGTATTCATCCGATAGAGTGAGTCACACAGAACTGAGGCAAACATGAAAATATAACCCACACAGAGTCCCTCCCCAGGCCTGGGTATAACCCACACAGAGCCCCTTCCCAGGCCTTGGTATAACATACACAGAGTCCCTCCCCAGGTCTCAATATAACCAACACAGAGTCCCTCCCCAGGTCTGGGTGTAATCCACACCAAGTCCCTCCCCAGGTCAGGGTGTAATCTACAGTACACAGAATCCCTCCCCAGACTAGAAATAACCCACACAAAGACCCTCCGCAGGATTGGATATAACCCATACAGTCCTTCCCCAGACTAGAAATAACCCACACAAAGTCCCTCCCCAGGACCGGATATAACCCATACAGTCCCTCCCCAGCACTGGATATAACCCACAGAGACCACACAAAGACCCTCTCCAGGCCTGGATATAACTCTATGTGAGTCCCCCTCAGCACTAAATATAGCCCACATAGTGTCCCTCCCCAGGCCTGATTTGCACAGAAAGCAGAAGTCACGGTGAGAGAGATGCCAGTGAAGCACCAGATCTCCTCACTGAAACCACACTGAGAGAGATGCCAGTGAAGCACCAGATCTCCTCACTGAAACCACACTGAGAGAGATGCCAGTGAAGCACCAGATCTCCTCACTGAAACCACAATGAGAGAGATGCCAGTGAAGCACCAGATCACCTTGTTGAAGCCACTGTGCAAGAGATGCCAGTGAACCAGTTCATCTCCTCACTGAAGCCATTGTACAGTAAGAGCGGTGGTTGCAATTCACCCAGACACCAGCCACACATTGGCAAGTCAGTGAGAAGCAGGTGATCCAACAAGCATGCCCCCACAGACCAAAAATTGTCAAACAATACATGTGAAAAACATAGTGCTTGTTTTTTTTTCTCTTGTACAGCTTCATCAGGATCTCCATGACATCGATGGGGGGGGGGGGGGTGAGGAACTCCCTGTATGCCATAAATTGTACATGGGTGGATTTCAGATCTCAGCAGGAAGGTATCCATCACTCAGTCCACATGGAAAGTGGTCACATGACTCCAAACGAGAGGCAGCAGACAGACCTTTTCAAAGAGCCTGAACATGACGAACGAATCAAGTTTCCTCCACATCTGGAGAAAAAACAAATCGAAAATGGCCGAAACATTCTTCTGGCACGTGAACACCCAACATCTCCAAACATCTGCATCGGGGATGTTTCGAAAACACCTATAAAACCGTAGCGCCAGCCATCGCAGTGATGTTTACACTACGCGGGGAGATGTCCCTCGGGCCGCAAGCCCCCACCCCCAGGCTCAGTCTGGGACAGAGCGCTAACGAAGCAATGTGATCTCATCACCTCTGTGCAAACACACTGCGGTGGGTAAGCGGGTCCACGGAGTCCGTGAGGTCTGTAGGGTGAGCGTGCGGTGCAGTCAACCCCCTGCAGCGCTTGCAGCCGACGGGGCAGTGACACTCATTTCATAGTCAAGAGAGCAGCGACACCCACATTGTTGACAAAGGGAGCCAGTTTCTAATTACCGAGAAAGCGCAGCACTGAAGCTGCCTTATAAAACACCTTTGAAAACTAATATCGGAGAACAGAGGCGCTTGGAAACGTTTTATTACTTGTTTACTACGTAAAACATTATTTACACAAATAAATGAAGCTGCCCGAAGGTGCTTGACGGGAGTGTCACACCTTTAAAGGGTTAAAGCACAGGCTCCTTCAGATTGCCGCACAATCTGACCGACCAGCTACAAGTGAAGCAAAGAGACAGAAAAAGAATCCAGATTTAACATGTTAAACATATTTAACAAGCATATAGTATATGCTTCCACTCGGCGTTATCTTGGGCCAGCGGGGTTGTTAAATCGGATTAAAGAGCAGCGCTGGATTTCCCGTTACATGCATGATCTGCTCGGCATTGAAACCGCATCTTATTTATAAACAGGAAGGTACACCGTGACACTTGGTTCAAGGCACTGAAATCCAAGCATTTATTACAAAAATGCCACGCTTCTATACGAAATGCGACACGCATGCAAATTAAGAGTAACGCATTAAAAGAATCAAAGTGGCAAGAACTTCATCTACGGTTTCCCGACCTGCAAATTGTGATAAAATGAGTCATCTGCTTCCGATTTGTATGAGGCGCTTATGCATCAGCATACCGTCCCGCACTGGAGTGAACCAGACCGGACCGACCCGCTGCGTAGCAGCCTCCTTACCTCGGAGTCCTCCGGGCGCTTCCAACATGCGATGCCGAAAGAAGCGACTGCGGCGCCGCCGCCGAAGGCACACGCCCCGCAGACACCTACCCCCCGCCCGTCCGGAGGCTGGCCGCGATGCCGAGACGCCCCCTCTCCACCGGCGGGGACCGAGCGCCTCTCTCACGCAGCGACCGGCCACGCACAGCTCTCCATCGCCCTGCTGCGCAGAGGATGGGATCCGCCGCTTGCCGCCCCCGAAAATCCGACTGGGAGGAGAAAGACTGGGTTGGGGTCGGAGGGAGGGGAGCAGGAAAGCGGGGAGAGACCCAGTGGCCCTACACAGAGCAGGAGGGGAGCCGCATCGGGTCCGCCCGGTGGCCTGGGAGCAGGTCCTCAGTGCACGGCAAACAACGTTCGTCACCGAGGTTCCGGTCTTAGTTAAAAAAAAACATGCATAGATACATGACAAAAGGGTATGTTTGATATGTCAGTTGCAGCGCACCTTCCCGTCATCAATGTTTAATTATTTTGTGAATATCATGGTAAGCTTAAAATAAAATTCTTTGTTGAATGGCTGATATAACACAGACACTTAGAGAGGAGAATACAGTCACTTGGTAACACTGAGATATATTCCAAAACATCATCAAGCTACATGGAAATTTAATATTTGAGAAAAGGCAGCAAAATCTATAAACATGTACACCGCAGGCTACAATAATCCTTGCTGACTGCTTTATGAGTAAAATGGCACACTGTGACATCACAGGCATCCGCCAGCCTGAGTGACATGGAAACTCTGCCTATAAGCAGTTGAACCTGAGTGGCGTTTAAACAGATCCATGTGCCGGTTTGACTGTGGCTTTAATTGTTTTCTGTTGGTTGGGCAGGAGGGGTGTCCGCCACCGTCACAAGGCCCCCTTGTTTGGCTAATCTTGTAAGTGTGGGGGGTTCACTTTGAAGTGAGGAAGTCCAGAATGCAGCGGGGTGTGTTAGCCTGGACGGGAACATCCACATTCCTGCCAGTCCAGCAGGCTTTTTGAGGAACACTCCGAAAATAAATCTCAGAAGGACACTTTGAAATAGCAACCCGCTTCTGAGGCTGTATTGAAAACAGCTGCATGGGACTGCCTTTAAGGAGAAAGGGGTGTGATAACGGCAGAGGGGGGGGCCTTGTGGGAAGGGGGGGGGCACATGTGTGCTTAACGGGAAGCAGTAACACACTGAGCAATCAAAGGCCCTGATGTGGACCGTGTGAGCGGCGAGTCACGATCCATCAGCACTCGGGCGACCTACAGAGCTCTCAGATCGAGTTTCACGGTGCTGGGGGCGCCCCCTGCAGGTTCCTGGGGGCCAGTGACACAGGGCTGAAGGTCATCTACATGATGTAAACACCACTGGCTGCGTAAATTCACACAAGCTGGGAGAGGACGTGACCCCCGACCTACTTGCAGTGGCCTCCATTAACGGGAGACGTGGATTTGGGGCCCTGCCTCTACATTGGCTGTTAGGTCCAGTGTGTGGAGGACGAGGCACTTAGGGATAGCCTGACAGCCAAGCAGAGAGCTGCTCAGTCTCTTTATGAGAAGAGGCCCTCAGGCTGCCCTGGGGGGCCACACACCAGATGCGTACCTCCATTATGCTGTATCTGGTGCCCAGGGGCCAGTTTGTGGTTTCTGACCCCCCTTCCCAGATGTTCCAAAAACTTAATAAATATCTTGTGAGTAGAGTCAGAAGACCATAGCTAGCTAACTGGTTAGCAGAACATGCTGCTTCAGCATCTCCTAAATAAGGGACATGTTTACTTAATTTAGTCCACTTGCACAATGACAGATAAAAAACCTTGAACCTCACTACTTAAAGTAATTAGTGTTTGTGGTGGTAAATGGAGCCCCCACTGAGGGCCAGGCCTCTGGGTGGCGCAGGTGAGCGTGTCGGGGCAGTAGATGCATTCATGTTTTGTACTTGGAGGTGCTGTGTGGACTCCTGCTGCCAGAGCAGGCTGCCTCATGGTGTTGCTTTTATAACAAGGCGTGACCCATTTCTTCCTTGGGACCAAGTCCCCAGTTTGCTGATGCATTTTGGGAAACTTACATCAAAGCCGAAGGCCATAATCGTGCCTGTTTAGATGTTAAATTTGGTGACTAATTCTGACGTCCCTTCAGAAATTGATAATTTATGCTTAGCGATGATGCTAAGCGGCTCTGCACCTCCTTCAGAACCTGGAGGAGTCCAAGGTGCATGGCAGGCTTAAGGGGGGATGGGGAGGTGGGTGCCAGCGGCAGAGCTTGTGTTTAACGGCCCCCGGCCCAGATCAAGCTCTATGCCAGAAAGAACCCTGCAGTGACCCTAATACTATGTACTCATCCATCCATTTTTTGCCAGTTGCTCCATAATGAACTATTTACTTCTGGATTTATTCTATTATTACCTGAGCCACCTAAAGGCACCACACAGCTGCATAATCAGGGTCACAGATGTGAGTGGCATGTTGTTAAGTCTGATCCTCACAAGAGGCTACATCCCAAAACACGTCAGTCTGTCTAGGATAAGAAGGTCTCTGTGTCAGGATGAAGCAGCAGTAATGTCCGTATTGAGACCTCTTGCTTGTGTGCTCATGCTGAAAATGATTCCACTCAGTTTTTTTTTTTTTTTTTTTACAGCTTAAAGGTCCAACTGCCGTCGGCCAGCAGATTCGTTGAAAGAGGGAATTTGCTGCCACACGATAGTGATCAACAGATATCCTGGGTGTGTCTATTTTTCAGCTGCCCAGCTAAAATAAGCCTTTTTATGAGTTTGCCTTTTAAAAAAGGAGCCTGTGCTTAAAGCCAAAGACTAAAATGATTCAACAGAATGGAAAGTTGCTTCCAAGCTGTTTCCGGGACAGTTTTGTTTCTGTGGGGAATGTGGGGCAGGACCTGAGGATGTACTTGCTGGCTCTGTGCGCTGTGATTCAGGGACACAGTGCTACTCAGACCATCTGCTCTACTTTCTCTGAAACACATCTTTCAACAGAAACTTCCAGGAGCTCAGGTGCTTCAGAGGAGGCGAACACAGGCCAATGAAGGCTGGTTCATATCACCATGACGATAAGATAAGATGAACTTTTCTGATCCCAGTGGGAAATTCTTTTGTACACAGCAGCAAGTTAGGTAAAAGTGCAGACAAATATACAGTGTGGAACAAGAGAGTGCAAAAACACAAAGTACACAGTGCAAACAAGCAAACATGCAAATAACTTTTAAAAGTTCAGAGTACACAAACAAAACATCCTGAAAAAGAACATTAAGTAAATAAATAGATATAAATAAAAAATAACTGTATGCAATGTGAAGGCAGTTGTACCCAGGGCAGGATTCTCCAGGCAAACAAAGCAGTGTTTGTTTGTTTGTTTGTTTGTTTGTTTGTTTTGTTTACAGCAAGCGAACAAGCAGAGCTGCTGGATTATTCTGACTTTTCCCTGAAATAACGGCAGAGCGAGCAAGTGAACATAGCCACTCCCCTTCACACGGGGCCATATTTAGACCAAACCAGAATGTAACAGGAAGAGGGCAGAGCACAGAAAACTACCCCACTGCCGAAGCCGCAGGCAGGTCACTTACAGGGCTGAGCTCCCACTGGAGACAGCATGAAGCGAGTGTTCAAAGATCTCAGCCTCCTCCACAATTAGCAGACATGAAAAACCTTATTTATAAATAAACCTGAAGCTTTATTTGTCTTTTGGACAAATACACTGGAATTTGTTAGTGGTGACATATCCCATCACGCTCTGCTTTTTAATGCAGACACACACATATCGGGATGAGAGTGAAGCTTGGGGTCTGAGTGCAGGGTTGGCCGTTTATTCAGGACTGCACAGCCTTTTTCTCGTGGGTTAAGGGCCATGATCTTTGGCTCAGTAGTGACATAGCTGCTCACTATGTGATCATATCTGATCACAGGCACACGGGCCAAACCTGGTAAACTGCACACAGCAGCAAACAAAGCTTTTCCAGTTCAAATATCACTACTCTGACAGCTGGCCTCAAGGAATGGTGACATGGGGCTCACGTCCAGAAAAGTGAACTGGAAAACCCTGAGCCTTGTTCCACCCAAATCCTGACCCAATTACACCAGACCCACACTAGAGCTGAGCCAGTGCTCTGGCAGCACATTCACACTGGAATAACCCTTACACCTGTGTCTCTCCTTCTGACGGCTCTCTGGTGTGAGGACAGGGGAGGAGCTGGTACTGCCAGATGTGTGATTGGAAGGTCAGCAGTGCGGTGCACAGGGAGAGGCTCAATGCCAGCAGAGAGGTGAGAGCTGAGACTCACTGGCCTGTTTTGCATTCATTCCCACCTGGAGGCAAACTAGGTCAGGAGGGTGTTGGTTTGACTGGCAAAACATGGCCAGGCACCATGCATGCATAAGGAATGGCACATACACCCATGCACACACACACACACACACACACACACACACACACACACACAGGTAAACCTCATACCTCAGGTAAACCCTCCAAAGCTTCAGAGAAACCACAAAGCCAGGAGCAGCCTTCTGGAGATCAGCAATGTCATGTGGATGCTGGAAACAAGGCCAGGCTCCTGCAGATATTCAAACCAGTACTTCAGCATCCAAACATCACGTTCTGTCAGGTAAACACAGCTGTCATCATGCGATCATCAGTCCTATATGATGGATGCAATAGAAGCACAAACAATGTCACGATGATCGACTATAAGAAGCCATCCACACTGGAGTGACAACAGAGCCACCTGAGGCACCAGGAGCCAGAGAAACCGTGCACCCTCCACTGCCCCCCACACCAGCCTACCCCACATCTGTTTACAGGGTTCCCCCTAGGTCAGGCTGTGTAAATAACCAGCAACTTATAAAAACACCAATCAAGCATAATTAGGGGTTGACGAGAAATTGTACACAGAGAGACCGTAAATGGCCGTAAGGAGTATGATCTCTTGATCAAGCTGTCACCCCTTAAGTCCCAATGGTGTCATAAATAACAAACACAACTCGGGGCCACATGGCATTGTGAACAACAAACACAGCTCGGGTCCAGAAGCCATTGTGAATAACAAACACAGCTCAGGTCCATCACGGATAACACGCACAGCTCAGGTCCATCACGGATAACACGCACAGCTCAGGTCCATC